GCCCTGTTCAGCCTGACACTTCTGACAGTGCCAGTGGTCGGAGCACACCTCGCAGCCGTCCATACACATCTCACACTTTCCACTTGCAACATTGCCAAAAGTTTTTTGAGGGCACAGAGAAACACAGGTATCATGGATAAGAAATTTTCCTGGCAAAAGAGCAACCCAGGTGTGGAAAGGCACCAATTAGAAACGTATTTAAAAGATTCCTGCCTTGGATGGCTATAAAAAAACTTTCAACTTCCTCAAAATCTAATTTTTGATGCCTAAAAACATGAATAAACCATTCTTTAAGCCATTTCCCAAAGCAGTTTACTCAGCCTTCACCAAAATTTAAGGTCAGAAGGAATCATCAGGATTACCTAGTACATCTTCCTAAATAAATCCCTAATCCCTATTCAGTAGTTCCTGCATCATATCTACAACTTTTGACTGAAAAGAAAGAAAAAGAACAACATACACCGAAAAGTTTTTTAACCGTATTGCCAAGGGCATGTCCTTAGATCCTAGCTGACGCCAGTGATTATCTGATTACCTGCCTGTGGTTTAAGATGTCAAAGAACTGTCTAGTGACCATTGATAAAAATATGTCCTGGAAGTACGTAGGATACAGAATATTTTAGCCTCTTGCAAAACTTACCCAAAGAAGCTGAAGTGTCTTACCTTCTGGACATGAAGTACATATGTCAGTAGATTTCTCACAGGTCCTACATGAAGACTCACAGGACTGCAATTGTTTTTGTGCATCTGAGATGAAAGAAAAAAAAGTTCCATTTTTTTACTTCTTATAGACTGCTTTTGTTCATTTCCCCTCCCTTTAGGAGGCCATTTCCTATGGCTTTTTCTAAGCTGTTATGAAAATATACCTCTGTGAATTTTTGGAATTCACGGAGTTGAAGAACTTGACGATTGTGTTTACTCTCTTAAATGCTAAGAGTTGTAATAAAGGAAAATATAAATGTTATCCTAAGATTCACTGAAACACTATTTCAGACTGCTCATCACAAATGAGAATGATAATCTATCTTAAAAATGTTAGTTTCAATGTAGTGCTCCAAAACCAAATCCAGATCTGTAATCCTAATAGATTACAAACAGGAAAAGCTAGAAAATGTGTAAATTTGGGAGACTTGGTGTAGTGAGGTATTTTCATGGAGATTTTGTACTAGATGGTTCCATAATACCATCACCCTGTAACTTAGGGAGAAAACTCTGAGTAGGAAGGAGAGAGAAATGAGTGTTTGGAAAGCAGATCTGTTAAACAGTTCTCCCAAAGCTATTGCCTACTATTTCCCACCAAAAGGAAGAGTCTGATGTGTGTCAAATGGAGTTTTTATGCCTGTGGAAAACTAAGGCTTTGGTTATGCTTTGCATAGACTTTATTCAATCTACTCAATTTATTCAATCTTTATTCAATTTACTCAGCTCTAAAATGACAAGGAGATGCGAGGATCCTACTTAATACAGAGAAAGTCTGCTGTGCAATGTGATAGGTCCAGCATGCAGCTCTGTATTTTGATCCAAGTAATTATAACAACAAGTAAATGGTTGTCTGATGAAAAAGTAATTGTGGGCCAGCAAACAGAAGACAGTAGCCTTTTGATTTTTCTGAAAATAAAAAAATAAAGAATAAATCAGAAGTTGGTTGCAGGTTGAGCTTTGCACCTCAGTTAGCACATCCAGCTCATCC